TGCACACTCTTCAAGCAGAGCTGAACCATGTCCCTGTTGGGATCCAGCCAGCAGTTCCTGAGAGGCAGTGAGGAACACAGGTGCTCACTACATTCATGAGTGTCCTGGTGAGAAGCACTTGTTGAACAAGGTTAAACAGGTGTGTGGTTAACTTTTTGTGTCAGCCTGGCTAGGGTATGGTGCCCAGTTGTTTGGCCACACACCTGTCTAGATGTTGCTGTGAAGGTTAACATTTAAATCAATAGGGTGAGTAAAGCAGCTTATTTTCCATTGTGTGGGTGGGCCTCATCCAAACAGTTGAAGACCTTAAGAGAAAAGATTGAGGTCCCCTAAAAAGGAAGGAATTCTGCCTTCAGACTCAAGACTGCAGCATCAACCATTGAGGGAATTTCCAGCCTGCCCTGCAAACGTCAGACTTGCCAGCCCCACAATCACATGAGCCAATTCCTTAAAATAACCTCTTTTTTTTTCTCTCTATATATCCAATTGGTTCTGTTTCTCTAGAGAACACTAATACAGCAGGTGTCTCTGATACAGGACTTCATCAGGCTTTCAATGCTAATATGCTTATCCAGGAGGGCATGGGATGTGGTTTCTCCAACTTGTCCCCCCTCCCCTGACCCAAAGGCCTGTTAACACAACTGTGTGTATGGTACCAGGCCCACATTGAGGTCATGGTTGTGGGGGCTAGACAGATGACCTCAGAGTTTCCTTTCTACCCTCCAAAGAGAGTTGCAGCAAGACCTTGCCCTTCTTGGCTCTCAGCTTGGCTTTTTCCACAGACCCAACAGCTTCAACGGCCATGGCTACCACCTCTTCCAGGCCATGAGGTTTGGCATTGAGGAGATCAACAATTCCACGACCCTGCTGCCTAACATCACCCTGGGGTACCATCTGTACGACGTGTGCTCAGAGTCAGCCAACGTGTATGCCACACTAAACGTGCTCTCCACACTGGGGACGCATCACATTGAGATCCAAGCAAACCCTGCCCACTACTCCCCTGCTGCCCTGGCGGTGATTGGACCTGACACCACCAACCATGCTGTCTCCCCTTCTGGCAAGTCCAGTGCAGGCTGGGAGTGGTGGGCAGGAATCACTGGGCCCCAAGGCCAGTCTGGCCCCCTGGATCTCCTGGGTGCTCACCACTCATGAGTCACATTGCAGGGGGCCCTGCCACATCGCAGTCGCCACTCCAGCATTTCTTCCTCCCCAAATGCTGCATCCAAACCTCCTTGCCTCAATGCTCCCGAGAAAACCCATTCTCCTTTGAAACTGCTGCCCTTCACACTCCTCCCACCATTCTGTCTTCTTTGTGAAGAATGGAACACCCTTTGTGTCCCACCCCACAGACTTCTCCACTTCTCCCCTGCCCTCCTTCTTCCTTCCTGCCTTCCAGGCTCAGGCTCAGAGGTGTGGTCTCCCACTCAGAGTGCTGTCCCTCTGGGCCTCACCCCCTCCTCTGCTTGTCAGCCTTTCCTAGGCTTCCTCCTCCACCTGTAAGCTAACCTTATCCCTCCCCATCTTCCAGGCACCCCTGCTCCCAGCACGGTCCTCCCTCTGCCCGCTTTCCATGAAAACTTACCTGCAGAGCCCTCTAGTCTTGTTTGCTTCTCCCTCTTGTCATTTGCTTCTCAACCCCCTGCCCTGGCTGCTGTCCCACCACTCCTGCTCTTGTGATCTGGAGGGCTTTCTAGGTCTCCAAATCCAACAAATGCTTCTCAGCCCCTTTTACCTGACATGACAACTCTGTGACATTCCCGACCAGTCCTTCAGTGACATTCTTTCCTCAGCATTTATGACCTGCCCCCTCTCACTTATGGCCCCTCCTCTTCCTCCTCAGTCTCCTTTAGAGAATCTCTTCCCCACCTCTTCTGAAAAGGTGGATGATTCCCAGAGTACAGGATGCTCCCTTTCCCAGGCAGGTGTTGGGAGTAAAAAATTTCCTCTACTCTTCAAGATTCTTCTGGCTGGTCTAAACATTGACATGAGACAGATTAACAGGAGAAAGTCAAGATTACATATGAATAGGGAATCCACGTAAACATGAGAGGTTCAAATACAGGCAAAATGAGGCTTATATGCTATTCTGAACTAAGGAAAAGCTGGTACGGTATCTGGGACTTCAAAGGAGAGGAAGACAATTCACAGGAAGAGATAAGAGAGTAAATGTTTAGTAAACAAATGTTTGCCAGGCCATCCAGAAACAATGGGACATAGAGAGGAATTTTAACAAATTGGACTTTGCTAAGATCCCCCCTGCCCACCACACCTAGTTCCTATTATACTCTAGTTATCTATGGTGACAGTTCCCTAACCTGGAGCAGGTCAGCTATCTAAATTCTTTTAGGCAGTTAGGGGAAAGGTCAACGTTTCCTCCGGAGTCTTTTGTGCCTTAATTATTTCCAACTGGAAATTAACCCACGTGCCAAAGTGGTGTATCTTGGGGCAATTCATTCAGAACCCCTACACAGGCCATGAGCCCCATGGCTCAATTTCCTGTTCTCTAGCTTCTGTCCTGTGTTCTAAGCTCTGAGCCTCCTTTCTGGATGTTCATCCAGGGTCTCCACTGCATGAACCCAACAGGCCCCAAACTGAGCTTACCTCCCTAGACAACTGGAGTCTCTTTTCTTCCTGCATCCACCCTCCTGCCCACCTGCCTCTATACTCAAGCCAGGAACCTGGCAGGCCTACCCATGTTCCTCTGCCCCCCACCCCCACAGTTAGCCCATCACCATGGCCTCTGCTTTTACCTTCTAAATGCTGCCCAGTCAACCCGCTCTTCTCCATCTTCACTGCCACAGCTCTAACTCAGACCACCAAGCTCTCTCATCTAGATGATTCCATCAGCCTTCTAGGGGTTCTCCCTGACTCTGGTCTTGAGCCTTTTCTAACATGTTCCTCACTGAAATCAGAGATACACTCCTAAAATACAAGTCATAGCATATCACTTCTCTGCCTAAACATTTAGGGGCTCCCCATGGCCTACAGATAAAGACCAAGTCTCTGAGCATGACATTTAAGGCCTCCTGCTCTGACCAGACACACCTACTTTTTTTTTTTTTAAGATTTTATTTATTTATTTGAGACAGAGAGAATGAGAGACAGAGAGCATGAGAGGGGGGAGGGTCAGAGGGAGGAGCAGACTCCCGGCCGAGCAGGGAGCCCGATGTGGGACTCAATCCCGGGACTCCAGGATCATGACCTGAGCCGAAGGCAGTCGCTTAACCAACTGAGCCACCCAGGCGCCCAAGACACACCTACTTTTGTGCTCCTTCTTCTGGCATGGGCATCCACATATGACCTCCTGCATCATTTCACTCACTCTGTGCTGCTTTTGTTCCTTTCCCCTTCCTCTCTCAGAACCTCCCCTTGGGTTTCTGCCTCTTCTCCAGATGTACGTTGTCAGCCTCCTACGTCCAGTAGGGCTCTCCTTGAGGGCTAGGGCAGGGATCAGGTGTCCCTCCTCCCTGGGTCCCCATGCCCAGCAAAGGGCCAGAAGTGGGGGGGCCCTGAGTTGGGACTGATGCCACTGAACTTGCTGAACTGAACCCCCACAGATCAGCTACGAGGCCAGCAGTGTGATGCTCGGAGTGAAGCGGTAGTACCCCTCTTTTCTGTGCACCATCCCCAGCGATAAGCACCAGGTGGAGATCACAGTGCTGCTGCTGCAGAGGTTTGGGTGGGTCTGGATCTCACTGGTGGGCAGCAACGATGACTACGGGCAGCTGGGGGTGCAGGCACTGGAGGAGCAGGCCACCCAGCAGGGCATCTGCATTGCCTTCAAGGACATCATACCCTTCCTTCTCTGCCTGCCCGGGGAATAAGAGGATGCAGAGCATGATGCACCACCTGGCCCGAGCTAGGACCACCGTGGTGGTCATTTTCTCCAGCAGGCAGCTGGCCAGGGTGTTCTTCGAGTCCGTGGTGCTGGCCAACCTGACTGGCAAGGTGTGGATCACCTCAGAGGACTGGGCCATCTCCAGACACATCAGCAGCTTGCCCGGGATCTGGGGCATTGGCACAGTGCTGGGTGTGGCCATCCAGCAGCGGCTTGTCCCTGGCCTGAAGGAGTTTGAAGAGGCCTATGTCCAGGCAGATAAGGGGGCCCATGGGCCTTGCTCCAGGGGCTCCTGGTGCAGCAGCAACCAACTCTGCAGAGAGTGTCTGGCTTTCACGACACAGCAGATGCCCACGCTTGGAGCATTCTCCATGAGCTCTGCCTACAATGCCTACCGGGCTGTCTACACAGTGGCCCATGGCCTCCACCAGCTCCTGGGCTGTGCCTCCGGAGCCTGTTCCAGAGACCGAGTCTATCCCTGGCAGGTAAGGTAGACCAGCCCCTGGCACCCTGAAAGGGGGTGCTTTCCTGAGGCAAGCAGAGTGATTACTTTCTGGCCAACTAAGTGCTAGGAGTGCGGGACAAAGGTTACCGATCAGAGGGCTGATCCCCTCTCTTAGGTTTCACTTCTCTGAACCTGAGCCCCTCCCACTCACCATGCTTCAGATCCAGGACTAAAAATCACTGTAAAGGGGTCCTTCGTTAGAAGATTCCTCTCAGGGGGCTCAGTCGTTAAGCGTCTGCCTTCAGCTCAGGTCTTGATCCCAGGGTCCTGGGATTGAGCCCCGCATCGGGCTCCCTGCTCGGTGGGAAGCCTGCTTCTCCTTCTCCCACTCCCTCTGCTTGTGCTCCCTCTCTCGCTGTCTCTCTCTGTCAAATAAATAAATAAAATCCTAAAAAAAAAAATAAAAGAAGTTTCCTCTCAGGAGGCTAGTTGGGAGGGTTGAGGGGCTTCCTTGGAGGGGAAGGAGGGCTCTGAATTTCCAGATGGACTGAAACCACCTAAATAGAAGCACAAGGCCCCAGGCACTTGCTTCCTGAGCCTTCCAGGTCTGGGCGGTTGAGGAGGAACGGCCTTTTTCATCTATGGCAGCTCCCTGGTCCCTGTTTATTTCAGCTTCTGGAGCAGATCCGCAAAGTGAATTTCCTTCCACACAGCGATACTGTGATATTTAATGACAACGGGGACCCCCTCAGCGGCTATGACATAATTGCTTGGGACTGGAGTGGCCCCAAGTGGAACTTTAGGGTCATCGGTTCTTCCACGTGGCCTCCAGTTCAGCTGGACATAAATAAAACCAAAATCCGGTGGCACGGAAAGGACAACAAGGTAACAGAGACATGGTCACTCACAAGGGGACTGCCTTATGGATAGCCTGATGCCTGAGGTTACTGTGGACGAGCAGGAGGGGGATCCCAGGTACCAGGCCAACATGGCCCTATCCAGCTTCCCGGGCAGCACCCAGATGGCCGGCTGCTGCAGGTTTATGAAACCAGGGGCTCTGCCCTGGGAGTGAGCTGTGAAAGCAGATGTACAGAGATTGTTTCCCATTCCATGTGAGCATCCCTCGACTTGAGCCACTCCATGTGGTTACAGAACACCTGTGGCTTCTTGCAGGTGCCTAAGTCTGTGTGCTCCAGCGACTGTCTTGAAGGACACCAGCGAGTCATCGTGGGTTTCCACCACTGTTGCTTTGAGTGTGTGCCCTGTGAGGCCGGGACCTTCCTCAACAAGAGTGGTGAGTGACCAAGTGAGTGGGCGAATGACTGGGCACTCCTAGGGTCCACAGAGCAGATGAGGGGATCCCCCTTGGGCCACACATGTGCAGAACCAGGGCCTTGCTCACTTCGCTGCAGTTAGGTACAGGCTGGAGAATACCTGCCGCCAGACTGAATTCTGAGGAAGCAGAAACAACCAGTTGAAATCCTCAGACCCACTATGTCTTTTACTAGAGAGCTCCCAGCCCAATTCCTACGGGGGCAATTTTATTCTAAATTCAACGTTTTTATGCAAACAGATGTAGCTATGTTCCCTTGTACTCTCCCACGCTGTGTGAAGTCCCTTCTATTGACCATGCCAAAGACAGCCAGCACCTTGAACAGCTTGGCCTGAATGCAGATACTATTGTATCTGCAGCTGAAAAAACAACATACCCAGTGACGCAAGGTCAAGATCAGAGAGCAAATTGGGGTAGCTAAGGGCTCAGCCCAGAGTTGGACTCCATGAGCCACATTCTTTCCTTTTACTATCTCTGTGGCCATGGGAATGCATCTCTTCTGTTCTTAGAGTCAGAGAAACCACAGAGTGGCAGCACAGGAAGGTGGATTTGGTTAAGGGAAGTGCTGGGGAGAAATGAAAATGCCCTTCCTTCAGGGCTGACTGTTCCTATTGGATCATAGCCTCACTGGCATGCGGGCAGAGTCACCAGAGTAAGGCCTTCCCTAAGGACCTCTTGGTTTGCAAGCCCAAGGGATCATGAGCCATACAGAACCCACCCAAGTGTCTCCAGAATCTGTAATTCATACAGGCATCTTGAGGAAACACTTGGCCTTGGGATCCCACTCAGGGCTACCCCCATCTCACCATGCCCAGAGGCACCCAGCTCCTGTGGTGTAGCCCTCCCAGCACCTTGCAGGTCTGCGTGGCCTCCCTTCCTCATTCCTGCTCTGCTCATCTAGCTCTCAGGAGCCTTCTGCCTTTCCTTCCAGATCTCCACAGCTGCCAGCCTTGTGGGAAAGAAGAATGGGCACCCGAGGGAAGTGAAACCTGCTTCCCACGCACCGTGGTGTTTTTGACTTGGCATGACCCTATCTCTTGGGTGCTGTTGGCAGCTAATACGCTGCTGTTGCTGCTGCTGGCTGGGACTGCTGGCCTGTTTGCCTGGCACTTAGACACCCCTGTGGTGAGGTCAGCTGGGGGCAGGCTGTGCTTCTTCATGCTGGGCTCCCTGGCAGGGGGCAGCTGTGGGCTCTATGGCTTTTTTGGGGAGCCCACCCTGCCCACATGCTTGCTGCGCCAAGGCCTCTTTGCCCTCGGTTTTGCCATCTTCCTGTCCTGCCTGACAACCCGCTCCGTCCAGCTGGTCTTCATCTTCAAGTTTTCTGCCAAGGTACCCACCTTCTACCATGCCTGGGTCCAAAACCATGGTCCCAGCCTATTTGTGGTCATCAGCTCAATGGCCCAGCTGCTCATCTGTCTAACTTGGCTCATGGTGTGGACCCCACGGCCCACCAGGGAATACCAGCGCTTCCCTCAGCAGGTGGTGCTTGATTGCACGGAGGCCAACTCCCTGGGCTTCATGTTGGCTTTCGTCTACAACGGCCTCCTGTCCGCCAGCGCCTTGGACTGCAGCTACCTGGGCAAGGACCTGCCAGAGAACTACAACGAGGCCGAATGCGTCACCTTCAGTCTGCTCCTCAACTTCGTGTCCTGGATTGGCTTCTTCACCACGGCCAGCGTCTACCAGGCCAAGTACCTGCCCGCGGTCAACGTGCTGGCGGCGCTGAGCAGCCTGAGTGGCGGCTTCAGCGGGTGTTTCCTCCCCAAGTGCTACGTGATCCTGTGCCGCCCAGATCTCAACAGCACCGAGCACTTCCAGGCCTCCATCCAGGACTACACGAGGCGCTGCGGCTCCACCTGATCGCTGAGGCGGGCAGGGCCACGCCGGGGGTGGGGGTTGGGCCTGACGCCTCCTCTGCCCCGAGGGTCGAGTGTCGAGGGTCGAGCGAGGCGCGCGCGCCCTGAGCTGTCCGGGAGGCCTTTGGACTCCTCAGTCTTGGCTCGGACAGTGTAAGCTCACGGGAGTCCAGCCCGGGCTCCGGGCTGCCAATAAAGCGGTGAAATGTGCGTCCTGGCTGCTCTTGCTGTCTGGGACGAGGGTGGGGCGCTACCTCCTCCAGGCTGAGGGCGCCGCGGGGGCCAACCGCAGCCGGAACCCGGGGACCCGGCCCAGCGGGGGAAGAGCCCGCGCCCAGCTTGGCGTTGCCGAGCAACTCCGGGAGGCGAGCCCAACGCTGAGAGAACCGGGCCGGGCCCCCTCTCCCCATCCCATTGGCCGTTCTCTGCCTGGCCCCGCCCCGAGGGCGGGGCTAGAAGCCCGGCGCCTCCGAGTCGTTCGCCCCGTCCGGCGCGCCCTGACGTCACGTCCGGCGGCGGCGGCGGCGGCGGCGGCGGCGGTGGTGGCGTCTCCGTGCGGTCGGGCGGGCACGTACGGTCCGGGCAGTTGGTCAGGGGGGCTGTGGAGACCACAGGGTCCGGGGTCTGTGGAGCCGACGCGGGGAGCACGGGTACGGGTGAGGAGGTCTGGGGGAACAGGGCGAGGGAGGGAAGGGCTGCGGGCCGCTGTGGCCGCCTTCCGTCCGGCCTCCCGGGACGTGTAGGCGCGGCGTGGGTTCTGCTCATCTGTCCGCACCCGCAGCCCTCCCCTGCCACGGGTCCTCTCGCCGTGCCAGGCCGGTCAGTTCGCGCTGATCCTCCGTCTCTTTTCCTGCGCTGATTCCTTCCACCCGCACCCCTTCACGCCCCTGTCCTGTCCCCCGCCAAGCCATGCTTCTGGCCTACCCAGTATGGGCTGCTCACCGGGCCTCCATCTCCAGGGAGGCGTTCACTCTATTCCTGGCTCAGCTGGCACTCTCTAACCTTGACCCAAACCCTCCTTGAGATCAATGTGACTGTTTGAGTAGAGGGCACCTCCCCTTTCCCTCTCCCCGGTCCAGGGGCTTTCCCTTGCTACTCCTGGGTTGGGTTGGCCAGCATGTCACTTCTGCCTTCCTCTCCGCCAGACAGACCATGGATGGCTCCTTCATCCAGCACAGTGTGAGGGTTCTGCAGGAGCTCAACAAGCAGCGGGAGAAGGGCCAGTACTGCGATGCCACCCTGGATGTGGGGGGCCTGGTGTTCAAGGCACACTGGAGTGTCCTTGCCTGCTGCAGCCACTTCTTCCAGAGCCTCTATGGGGATGGCTCAGGGGGCAGTGTCGTCCTCCCTGCCGGCTTCGCTGAGATCTTTGGTCTCCTGTTGGACTTCTTCTATACTGGTCACCTTGCTCTCACCTCAGGAAACCGGGATCAGGTGCTCTTGGCAGCCAGGGAGTTGCGAGTGCCAGAGGCTGTGGAGCTGTGCCAGAGTTTCAAACCCAAAACCTCAGTGGGGCAGGCACCGAGCGGCCAGAGTGGGCTGGGGAAACCTGCCCCCGGGAACGTGAACAGCCACCTCAAGGAGCCGGCAGGCTTGGAGGAAGAGGAAGTTTCGAAGACACTGGGTCAGGTCCCCAGGGACCAGGATATCGGTGGCAGTCACGGCCCCGAGAAGCCCCAGCTTGGTCTCCCTGCCCAGAGTGAGAGTCCCTCCTTCCACCGTGGGAAACTCAAGCAGGCCTTGAAGCTTTGTCCCCGAGAGGATAAGGAGCCTGAGGATTGCAAAGTGCCCCCAAGGCCCTTTGAGGCTGAAGGTGTCCAGCTGCAGGGCGGGAATAATGAGGTACTGTGCCCAGGGTGCTGGGAATGGGGAGGTGGGAGTCATTGGGGAGAGACTGACACTTTTCTGGGATAATCTGGACCCCAAGGTAGAATCTTTATTACGTGGGTCTGGAATAGGTTTTCTCCAAATCCAGGAACCCGGCTCCATCCTGCAGCCTCAGGCTGACCTTTCTGTGAGTCACAGCTGTCGAGGATTGGCAGCCTTTTGGGGTTGGATAGCTGGCCTCAGCGTTACAGGTGTTTCCCGAGGGTAGTGAAATCCGGCCAGACTTCCAGCTCCCCACAGATAGAGCCACTGCCCTCCAAATCCGAGATTCCGATGGGGCCTGCCCTAGGACCCTGATGGGAATAGTCACTGATAAAGGAAATCATCTGGGGATGTGTGTGGGTTGGGCCTTGGGATGGAACTGGATGGAGTTGGCTGCCCTGTGTGTCTGTCCCCAGAACTCCCGCTGATTAATTTGGTGACCTTGCTTCCTGCTGCCTTTTCTGCTCTAGTGGGAAGTGGTGGTTCAAGTTGAGGACGACGGGGATGGTGATTACGTTTCAGAGACTGAGACCTTGCCGACCAGGAGGAAATCAAACATGATCAGAAAGCCATGTGCTGCTGAGCCAGCCCTGAGCGCAGGTTCCCTGGCAGCCGAGCCCGCTGAGAACAGAAAAGGTACAGCGGTGCCAGTTGAATGCCCCACATGTCATAAAAAGTTCCTCAGCAAATATTATCTAAAAGTCCACAACAGGTAAACGGTCTGTTTTTTTATTTTCTTTTCCTGTCTGCTATTCCCTTGTTGGGGGAGGGGCCTGCACTCCCCTCTTCTGAGCCATGTGGGGGCTGGGGGGCTCCATCGCAGACTCACGCAGTGCCTGATGTCGACCTGCTTCTCATCATCAGGGAATGAGAACGTGGCCTTGGGTCAGGTTTCTTCTGTCTCCCTCTCATACTCTGAGCGGGTTTGTGGACACCTTGTCAATAAGTTCCACTCACTGGGGACCTTGGCCTGTAGCTGCCTTCTGCCAAGGGGATGAGAGAAACCCATGGCCTTGTGCAGTATTTCTAAAGCCTAGCAATGTGGGCTTGGGGCCAAGGTGTCGGTCTTTAGGGTTGGTGCCTCCTTTGATTTTCTGGGGAAATGGTAGCCCCAGGATATCAGTGGAGCGTAAGGGATCATTTGTTAAACCTGCATTGTCTGAAAAGGTAACAAGATGCCATACGAAGCTATGCTAACTTAAAAGTAAAAATGAGTTCAGTTTCTTAGATGCAGTAGTCACATTTCAAGTGCTCAGTAGTTATGGGGGGCCCTGGCTGCTGACTCAGCACAGACCATTTCCATGGTCACAGTTTTCCTGACAGCGCCACTCCAGGTCTCTGCAAGGCCTCCGGGGAGGGCAACTAGGAGACATGATCTCCAGACCTGCCATTTCATAGTCCAGGTCGTCACTAGCCTGATTTCTTGCCAAGCCAGGTTGGGCCACACACACTTTCTCAGCGTGACGCTCTGGGAAGCCGGCAGTGACGGGCTGGAGTCGTTGCTGGGTGATGTTTGCTCGCCTGTTCTGGGGCAGCTCAGGGCAGCTGCGGCCAGTGGGGTCTGGGGAAGTGCCAGTGTGGGAGGCCCCCTGGGGTGGTCCACATCTGCCTGATGCTCCCCCAGCGTGAGGCTCGGGTGCAGGCACCGTCCCCATCCCTACCTTGGGCCGCAGGTTGCTGGACTGGCCCTGAGAACTGCGAGGGGGTGACGCCCTCGTGAGGTCGTTCGGATGAGGACAGTCAGTGGAGGGGCAGAGGATGAGAGAAACGTCTGGCTTCTGAGAACTAGTAAGAGCTCTTCCGGTGCCGCTCAGGTGCTCTGAGGTCAAGGTTCATTTAGCTCATTCTGCTAGGCGGCTGACAAAACTGTTCTGGGTGCTTGGGGTACCTTAGCGAATAAAGCAGAGGCCTCAGGGAGCCTGCCTCTCAGCAGGGCTGCGCAGACTGGAACTGACAGACGGCAACTTGACTGTGTGGTGGAAGATGGGAGGTGCCACAGAAGAAAGCAGGGGCAGAGCCCCGCCTACAGGTTGGGGAGTTCAGGGTAGGGTGGGGTTGCAGTTTTAAAGAAAGGAATTTGGAGCAGACTCAAAGGAGGTGAGGACCTTTACCAAGTGAATGGCTGGGGGGAGTGTTGTGGGTCGACGAGGGCCGGAGCAGAGGCCCTAGGGTGAGCCAGTGGGTTGGCGAACGTCAGGGAGCCAGATCCGGGGATCAAGACCCCGATGTAAGTGGCCGGCCGACTATGCCTCATAGGCCCCGGCCTTTTCTCAGGGTGAAACGGGCAGTGTTGTAGGGTTGGGAGCAAAGAGGCGCTGAGGTCTGACTATACCTAAGGGTCGCTCTGGCTGCTGAAGTTCACTCTGGCGGAGGCAGGCGTGGAGCACGAGACGAGGCAGGAGGCTCAGGCAGCCGGGCAGGGGATGGTCTGGCTGCACTAGGCGGTAGCAGTGGAGGCCAGGTGAAGTGGTCAGGTTCTGGCTATGGTTTTGATGGTAAAGCCCACAGAAGTTGAGGCGGACTAGGTGGTTTCTCCAGGGAGTCAGGACCCAGGGATTATTTCTGTCTTTGCCGAGATGCCAGCCAGCTGGGTCTGTGTGGCTTTGGGGTGGTCCCTCCCGCATGCAGCTGTGCAGGCTCCCACGAGGAGGAGGGTTTCTGGGTGCACCTGTGCGGCTTCATCAGCCAGGTCTGAACAAGCCACGTGGGGGCCATGGCTGGCCTTAGGACCGCTCTTCCTCTCTGCTCTGGAGCCCAGCACTGCTGGTGAGGGAGCGGTGGGAAGTCGCTCAGGCCCCACACCCTCTGTGGCTTTTCCTGGCAGGAAACACACTGGGGAGAAACCCTTCGAGTGTCCCAAATGTGGCAAGTGTTACTTTCGGAAGGAGAACCTTGTGGAGCATGAAGCCCGGAATTGCATGAACCGCTCGGAACAGGTACTTGTGGGTTGGCCCAGGATTTGTGGGCAGGGGCACGCTGGCCTTTGTCTTCCTGCCATCTGAGAGGGGCCCCCAGGAGACTGTCTTAGGACTGTAAACTCGAGAGCTGGAGTGTCCTTGGATGCCATCGAGTCCACTCCCTGGTATTACAGGTGGGGACATCGGTCCCAAGATTAGGAGGGACTTTGTGGGAAGGATTTTGGGCTTGCCTGCGTGGGCACCTGGACTCTGGAGAAGGGGTGTCTTGGTGGGGGATGGCTGCTGAGAAAGGCTACCTGGCCACCTGCCCCCACCCCACGGGCTGGGCCTTGTGACATGGCCAGCTAAACTCCACCCTCCTCTTCCTAGAGGCCTATTGCCAGGGGTGGGGGCTGCGGGGGAGGTCTCTCGGCCCCTGCCCCCAGCCTGGCATGGTGGGTTTGCAGTGCTCAGCTTTGGTCAGGGTCAGGGCAGGCAGGTCACGTGTTGCCCTCTCCCACCCTAGCGTCCCCCCCCTCGGGCAGACTCCTCCCAGCAGCGAGTGGAAGCCCGGGCAGAGGCTGCTG